TCAAAGCTCACTCTTTCGAGGATGCCAGTGTTCACAGTTTGGACTGAGAAGACAGTTGATTTGAAAGACATGATATATGTCCACTGTAAATAGACATCATGAACAGAGGTGGTGGCTTAGAACACGAATTGTCAGCCACCTACAATGCAGATTCCTTCCCTGAACACCACCCACATTTTGTGTTAGGTGGCCCAATAGGTCAAATCGTAGGGTGAGGCACGGTCTCACAGTGGTAGACCCACTCCCTTTTTTAACCCTGGCTAATGTGATGAAGCACATGATTAACGACCCTCTTAAGGGACTCTCCACCATTTGGTTTAAGAACTTGAAGAAGCCTCTTGGATGAGAGTTTAAACATCTTCATGAATTCCAGTCACTTTCTCTCCAAGCTCCTTAGATTAGCTAAGGAGCTGATCTAAGGAGCTAAAGGGCGCACTCTTTAGTGTCGTCGGGAAAAAAAACAAACAAAAGATATGAACAAATGCACACACACAGTGCAATGATGTTTGTAGATTGGAAACGTTCTAGAAACCGTGCATTTGAAAAAACAAAAATCCATTGCTCCCTTTATGCTCACTCTTCCTTACTTACTAGCTGCTGAAGAACTGCGACTAAAACTTATGGACATCTGCACCAAAAACGCAGTTCCAGATGGCTCTGGCTCAATTATAACCACAGAGCTATAAATAATGCACAAATTACATCTTTCATCTCTTTGTATGGGATCAGCCCTGGTGATGGATACATCAGTGTGTTACTGTTCCCTCCATTTAGGCTAAAATTGGTCTGACGTTTGAAGGCGGCAGTGCAGGGAACTAAAAACTCCCTTCAAATGTCTTCAATGTAAAGCAATACACCTTTTCTTCTTCATAAATTTAAGGAAAAGAATGTACAGATATTTGTGTGAAAATGTAGGGTTTACAGTAAAAAGTTGTCAGAAAATAAATGGTCAAGTAAAGTAGAGATACCTGAAAATCCTTCTTAAGCAGAATAACAAAGTATTTGAACTTCAGCACTTCCCATCCCTCAACTCTATGATGACCTCTCTCACTTGTACTGCCATCTCTTTGGAGCTTATATTCAAAATTAAAGCCAGCAATTAACCTGTGCTACAATAACCCGGGGAAGCCTGGATTTTAAGCCTGTTGGGACTGTTATGTTGGACACTGAATTATTATTGACATTCATAACGCACATCTACACCATCTTGTTTAGAGCAGCACAACATTTTCCATTAATGTACCGGGCAAACTTAGGAATACTCACTTTTCTTTATTGCAGCCACCACACACTCCTGTAAAGGCTTACAGACACAAACTGATTCATTCACTAACACACTTAAACATCGAGAAATGCACAGATCCAGATAAACACATAAACATATGCAAACTACCTCATCCAGAAGATACAGGATGCAGTTAAAGAACGGGGCAAGATGCTAACCCCATGTTGCTCTCGAATGCATTCTTTAGAATATGAGTGTGTGTGTGTGTGTCTTAGCTAGAATGCAGTAGAAAAGTGGTACATAGGAACCAGTCCATTTACCAAAAAATAATTTGCAAATAGAGACTACGTATAAAAATAATTAAAGTTCTTAAGATGTTCGTGCAAAAATTCTATAAAACCCTCGAATTAAAGCTGAATGTCTGCACTTCAGTCACATATTGGTTGTTTGACTTAAAATCCACTGTTGTGATGCACAGAGGCGCAACAGAAAATTATGGACCTAACTCTACATTACTTTCCACTTGTGTCCTGCAGCATAAAACGCAGCAACTGTTACATGGTGTGGGGTGGAGAAAGCAGCAGCCCCAGTCAGGGGAGGAACAACGGCTTAGAGATTGGCTGCCTGGTTGACACTACAAACGGTCTGCTGACATTCACAGCCAATGGCAAAGAACTCAGCACATACTACCAGGTAAATATGTATGGTTTGATTCCAGGTTTTCATTTTTGTACATCATTTTATTTTTTTATTCTGCAAGAAAATAGGTGCTTTTTTGTTTTTTGAACCAGTTCTGATAAAACCATGTCTCCATCTACAAACACACTATGTTGTCCTCCACCTTTCCTTGCCTACTAATGAACCAGGCATCCACTGACTCATCAAAAAAATACATATATGGATCTCTAAGTTATTGGACATTTAACCAGTTTCTGTAATGTTGCCTCTGTACACCACAGTGTATTCTAAAACAGTGAAGATGTGACTGAAGTAGCATTAATCGTTGGAGTTGATTTCAAGCACTCTAAATGTGATGTACAAAGAAATATGACGCAAGTGAAGGAAGCAATAATTAATGTGCACAACCAACTTAACCTGTCAAGAATTATATAAACTCTGCATGCAAATCATCAAAAGAAGGAATGCACTTCTCAGCACAGCAACACCACAAGAGCCAAGAAATTGTAAAATTATTTCCTTGGCTAAGACAAAACCTACACAGCATCAATCAGTCATTGAAGTCCTGAAGGGCGTAGGCGTATCATTGTGAAAGTCTACAATCAATACCTTTGTGAATGTAAATTCAGACAGTCCACAGTGAAAGCAGCAGTCCACAAACTGCTGATTTCAGCTGACAGGATTTCCAGGTTAGCCTTTGCTGGCAGTTGAAGGTGGGTGTAGTAACATGGGTGTAGTAACATTCCTGCAAAGCATCTTGTGGGATTTCTTGGATTCTAGACTTAAGACAGTCACTGACAAAAGATTTTAATCCAAGTATTAAAATCAATCCTGATATTTCATATCCAATTACTTTTGAGCCCCTGATAATGGGGCACTATAAAAATGGCTGTAATTCACTACTCAGGGAATTTGAAACCTGCTGAATTAAAGCTAAAATTTTACACTTTGACCACATCTTAATTGTCTGTTTTAAAATCCAGTGTGGTGGTGTACTGAGGCAAAGTTAAAAAAAAACTTAAATTAAAACTTAAATCAACAGATTGGTAGAAATTGCTATCACACTTCCAACAAAGTGCAGGTAGCAGTACTGTAGTACTGCACAAGTTGACAGAGACTAATTGTGGGAAATACTGTGATGGCAATTTTAGGCTTGTGTTGATTTCTTTGAATCGTGGAATAACTGAATAGATTGAAGTTCGAATTTATTTTGGATTTTTACTGAAAAGATATAAGATCCACTAATATTTGGTTGAATGTCAATTAGCAAGTTACACCTCAACCATACATATTCGTTAGCTACCAGTACGCTTCTGCCATAATTCTGGATGTTCTGGATATTTGTAACACCCAGTTGTGCCCAAATTTCAACCATCTAGCTTTTCATTTCAGGTCCAGAATTTGGGGACCATCCTCTAACTCAGGGGTCTCCAACTAAAATAGCAAGAGGTCCACTACCTCCGTCATCCAATCAATCTGGGGTCCGAACCTTTTAAATGAACCAACAAAAATATTTTCTTTAATATTTATTAACAATATAGATTTGTAACTACTGATCAATGATTCGTACGCTTATTAAATCATCTGCTGAACAGACAAATGCAATCCAGGTAAAGTACGAATGTTAAACAAAAAACTGTTTAACAATGAAATTATGCAATAATCTACACAACATCTATTGCACATAAACCAACAAGTGCTTTAAACGGCGCAGAAAATATGTTTGACAAACCCAACGCAACGTAACTTAGAACATATTCCAGAACAGTGCTGGCTCTCACTTCAGTAGGAGGAACTTGCAGGGACATTTGCAGCTAGCATTTTGAACTTAGTTCAAATGAGCTCAGTTCAATTCTTAAGCATGCATGCAAATGTTCACTAGTCAGTTGTGAGTGAAGCCTGTCCATTTATCTTTTAATGTCCGATTTTCATGGACTTTATGCATTTTTGA